CTCAGGTCTACACGAACGACCATGTTCGAGTCGAGAGCCAGATGGTGATCATGTGTCATAAAATGAAAGCATGTGTTTTCTTCACGTTCGCGTCGCCAGAACGGTCGCTTCGTCTTCTCACCTCCTCTTCGAACATATCTTCTTATTTCGGCGGGCGCCGGCATCTTATGAATATTACCTCACTTAGATTCATTCCCAACCACACATGTGGGGTACTCCGGTCCCTTAATTAAATATTCTTTTCGGCATTTTATCTTTCCAAGTTGCGTAACAAGCGCCCGGAGTATGTTGTGTGACCCATGCACCGAGAGTATGTTATGTGATCCATGGAACCATTTTGAGGAAGTTGCGATGCGTAGCTCAATATTTTGGCTACCTGCAGTATGCTTTCCGCTATGCTTTGCTGATCCTATACCATAGGCTACCCAAACATTGCAAAATTAGCAAAATGTGGGGTTCATCACGGGGGTAGCAAATATGGTACCCTTTTCCAGATATCAGAATAGATTCTTTCCAGATTGCCAAATTTCCAAACTACAGTCTCTGCAGATTTCCAGAGTTCCACACGACAGTTTTTGCAAATTTCAAGATTTCCAGACTAGAGACTTTCATGAATTCCAGATTAGAGTTCTTTCCTAATTTCCAGACTAACGTTTTTCCAGATTTCCAGACTAAAAGTTTTCCAGCATCCAGATTTCCAGGTTTCCTGACTAGTTCCAGGTTGCCAGATTTCCAGACTACAGTTCTTTCCAGATTTCCAGACCAGAGTTTTCCCAAATTTCCAGATTTCCCGACTTTCAAATTTCCAGAATGGAGGTTTTCCAGGTTTCCAGAAATGCAGATTAGAGTTCTTCCAGATTTCCAGACAAGAAAGAGTCTTTGCAGATTTCCAAATTTCCAGATTTCCAGACTAGAGGTTTTCCAGATTTCCAGACTAGAGTCGTTGCAGGCTTCCAGATTTCCAGACTAGAGGTTTCCAGATTTCCAGACTAGAGGTTTCCAGATTTCCAGAATGGAGGTTTTCCAGATTTCCAGACTCGAGTTTTTCCAGATTTCCAGATTGCCATCTATTCCGGAATTCGGGACATCTGGAAAGACTCTAATCTGGAAATCTTGAAAGAGTGTATTCTGGAAATCTGGAAGCCCTCTAGCCCTGAAATCTGGAAAGACTTTAGTCCGGAAATCTGGAAACCTGGAAAACTTCTAGTCTGGAAATCTGGAAAGACTATTCTGGAAATCTGGAGTCTTGAAATCTGGAATCTGAAAACCTGGAGCGACTCTGATCTGGAAAGCTGTAAATTTGCCAAGATTCTATTCTTGACCTGGAAAGATTGTATTCTGGAAATCTTGCATTCTGGCATTCTGGGAATATTCTAGTCTTGAAGTTTCGGACTCTATTCTGGAAATCTGGAAGCACTCTAGTCTGGAAATCTGGAAATCCGGAAAGACTCTATTCTGGAAATCTAGCAGATATGTGTCTATATATTCGAGAAGCCTTCATTAGCATGTTAGTATTTACAGGCAAACATTACGGACGCGCAATCTATTGGTCTATTATATATATATATATTCCTAAACATTTCCATTAGTCAGTGAGTATTTACACTAAATGTGCTTTAAAGGATTGCTAGGGAAGAGTATCGGCAATTATTCAGATTTCTACGATATTCCGCTGTGGCTCAGGCTGAGTCTCATTCGCGGCACCTCTGCACCATGTTTGGTGATGAGGACAGCCGTTTTTTTTCCAAAATTGCCCTTACATGAGCCACAGTAAGTGCCCCAACAATCCTCGTCGTTGAGAAGCCGCCAAATGCTCTTCAACGTATTTGTTCCGCTCTATGAGACAGTGCTGTGATGCAGAAACGAGTGAGGTATGAGAATGACCTCAGAATTTTCAGCGTAGTGTTCGATTTCGTGGGTTTGCTAGGAATGCACATAGTTTTTCAGGAGCTTATTGCACGCAATCTTGCATGTTCCAGCCCGAATCAAGGACACCAATGTACCTAACCTGAGTTTCAGCCCCTAATATGTCAGTTCAAGGGCAGTGGGCACGTGCGTCTCTATCATGCCTCCTATGACCCGCATGTACACACCCACCGGAAATTAGTAGCTAGGAAATGCGCGCGGGTTTCGTGTTTCATGGCCGTAGGAGGAAGCTGCCAGCGCAGACATCAGACCTCCACGAGCCGGAGCAAGGGACCTCTCTCTTCAGAGTTTCCACAGTGCTGGAACCTGTCACGAGTCATTGTTGGAAATTGTTTGATGGGATAACATGTTGGGGCTTTGTTTTGAAGAATAATAGTAAAAGCCTATCCATGAAGAAAAACGTCCCGCGCGCTAAACGACCACACCTCCTAGTATGCATTGTTGGCAATTCATGTAGCGATGTTAACATGCTTACAGTCTCCAGCAGCGCCTCCAGTAATTTGACCACAACGCACTCTTGTGAAATTTTGCATAACCTAAAAACAGCGTATGTTCTGAAAACCCCCGCGTAGAAATGGACTCGGTGAGAGCTACAATGTTGGTTGTGTGTCTTCACAATTGACGACCAACTGAGGCTAAAGTGCTGCAACAGAACTTCGGGCAAATGAGTGAAGGCATGGACTGCGACGATGTCCCACTACTTCGTGTCTGGGTCGCTGCTGGATAAAATGTTTGGTAAGGCAAAAAATTCAAATAGCGTAAACATCAGAACGTCTTTGCTTCCGAGGAAAAACACAGATTCTTGCAAGACATGTCAGACTAAGTCAGGTCATGTCCCACAACGCGCTGCTTGCGCTCTTGTGTAGCTCCAGCTGCTTTGTGCATCAGGGCATGAAAAAAAGCATGACTTTCGTTCAGTTCTTGTGGTGCAGGGTTTATTTTCTCAGCTTGAGAACAGCAATTCAAGCCGCGTTTACTTTTCTTTCGTGAGTAACTATAATGCAACACCTCGTGTACTTCGCTCTCATCCGCTAGAACCCTATGCACCTCTTTAGGCTCGACATCAGACCCCTTTTTTTCCTTGTCCGGAGAACCCAGGCTATGTATTGGACTTTCCAATTCTGACCGAAGTCTACCAAAAGCCCAATAGCCGGAGAGGTCAGTCCTGGCAAATACGATGCCGCCTAGCTCCCAGGAGAAAATCCCTTCTAACGTGCAAGTCCTGGGCGCTGGAGGCAGTGAAAACTGCAGCTTGGCTTTCTGTCTTGTGGACAAGCAGCTTCAAAAGTGTGCTTTGTTTGCTCTCCTTGCCGTCTTGCTTTTGGATGGCTGGCAAGATCCTGGCACGTACGCGAGCTCCTGAGATGAAGCTGATGAAGACTCAGATGCCAAGAGCGTTGAAGACGCTGCCGCCAGCAGTCTCTCGTCTGGGTCTAATCCAGCCGGCCAGCGCACCAGGTGGGCGCTATGCATCTGATGGATATCATGGCATGTGGCTACAATCGCAGCTTTGCATCTACAACAGCTACGATTCTTCCCTGACCACTCATTCGGCCACACGAACTGCACGAACCGCGCCAACATTCTATGTTCTCAAGCCCTTCGCGCTCCTTGGTAGCATGTCAAGTTTGTTTTTGAAGGATTCTAGTCTAGCATTTAGAGGCTGCCCGAAAGCAGCGAAGGCTTGCCCAAAAGGCACCGGCTGTTGGTTGAGGAGAGGCCAGCCTGCAAAGTTGTCGGTGAGGGCTTTTGACTTTGTCCGCACTGCGGGAAGTTGACCCATGTTGGAAGTCTTCAAGGCGAGCTAAAGCGTTGATGTGCATTCATTTCTCTGCTAGCTACAGCAACCCTGCATGGCAACGGCCTGCATGGCAACACCTCGCATGTCGTAAGTCTGAATAATTTGGGCCGCAACCGCTTCTCTTGCAAAGCGGAAGTTTGGCATCATGCAGCTGAAAGGGCGCCTGAAGGGATCATAGCTCATTCCCATTCCAAGTGTTGCTTCATCATGCCTTCCAAAACCTCGAGGACCTCAATGTGGCGTAGAAGAACTAACGCTGTCCGTGTGGTCTCGGCAGCAAGCTGTATAACCTCGACGATAATCCAA